AAAAAAAAAAAAAAAAAAAAGAAAACAGATGTTTCTGGGTAGGGGGTAGCCGGTCCGGGGTCGCAGGTCGCAGACCGCAGGCGACCGTCGCCCCAGCACCATGTTCGGCTCCAGTCGCGGAGGCGTGCGCGGCGGTCAGGATCAGTTCAACTGGGAGGACGTGACAAGCAGCGGGAGAACTACCTGGTGGCTACAAAAACGTGAAGAAGCAGACCACGGGCCTGAGCAAGGAGGACTTTGCGGAGGACTGCAAGCGGGAAGGAGGCGACCCCCAGAAGAAGGGCGTGGACCAGCTGCTGGGGCTGGGGAGCACTAGTGGCTCCGCGGGCCGCGTGGCGCTGTCGCGGGAGGACAAGGAGGCCGCCAAACTGGGGCTATCTGTGTTCACACACCACCGCGTGGAGAGCGGCGGGTCTGGGACTTCAGCAGCCTCGGCCAGGAGGAAGCCACGGGTGGCGGATCAGACTGAAAGCAGCTCTGAGAGCCACAGGAAAAGGAAGAAGGAGAAGAAAAAGAAAAAGAAGAAACACAAAAAAGAGAAGAAGAAAGACAGAGACAGGCGACCAGCCGAGGCCACCACCTCTTCCATGTCTCCCGAGAGGCCCAGGCACTGCCACCATGACTCTGACTCGGACTCCCCCTGCTGCAAGAGGAGGAAGCGAGGACACAGTGGGGACAGGAGCCCATCTTGCAGGTGGCATGACAAACTCTGAGGCCTGATGGTTGGACCCTGCTCACTGCTACTGTGGGACCTGGAACTCTCCCTTCACCTTGCTTGCCTCCTGCCTCAAGAAAGCCCCTCGTGTGGGTGAGACCTGAGGCTGCTCCTATGGAGTGGCTCTGGGCACCAGCCTGTCGGGTAAAGGCTGCACAGCTAGCTCTGGAGCAGCCAGCTTCCTGGAAGACCTCCAGGTTTCGCACAGCAGGGATGGCCCCTGGCTTGCCCTGCGAAGGTGAGCCTGCCCACAGGTACCCATAGAGGCTGGACTCCCCGTGTCCTGCTCGTGACTGCAGCAGCAGCCATGGACCTATGAGCAATCTACCTGTGGCCAAGTAAGGTGACCTCTATTTTTCCTTACATTGACTCTTTATATTTCAATAAATATATTTTATTTTATTTTATTTATTTTTTTTTTTTTTT